TTATTTTTGTAGAAATAGTTGTCGTTCGATGGCTAATACCTATCTTCGTGGAAATTGATGATACACTAAAACAACGACAGTACTGTTGGATATTGATGGGGTCTTTTTGGCTCCAAGTCATCAGTGTTTTCTATGATTGACTTCATTACGATAATCGCCAAGTATCCTAATGGTACGGAGATCATCTCAAGTGAATCGAACTTCGGTTCAGGTTTGTCGAAGTCCAAGAATGAATAGGAGTAAATTGTTTGATACACAGAAGGAAGTTCAAAACCGAATATTTCATGGTTTATTCGTTTTTATTTTTCTTTTACCTTACTGGATATTAACATCTGAGTAACACAATATACAATATTATTGAGGCATTCATCAATCATGAAATATTCTTATTAACGATTCACCAAAAACACAATTTATCCTCATTTCACAAATCCACCTAATCAAATGAGATCTATATTCAAAAGAATCGATTACACGATTACACGAATGTGAAGCATAAACCATTTAACATAAAAATTTTATCAAGATGGGAGTTAAAGGTCAACAATCTGGAATTGAATACAAAAATCACACAATACATTTTAGATACATGAATTTAATTTCCGGGATCTTGCAAGCAGTGTCGTACGTCATAAAATTTCGTGAAACAAATCACGGAGACGAAGCATACATTCGAAATAATTATGGATTCGAAATATACCTGGATTCAACATATCTTTGTAGACAAAAGAATCAGTATTGTCCGATTGGGCCATATATCGGTATTTTCAGATTCACCATCGACAATCGTTTGAAAATATACATATACAGATTGGAAATCTTCTTCGATTGAATGATGGAGAGAAGGGGGAGACAAAAGCAAAAAATAAAGTAAATTGAAGAAAAAATTGGATGGAAATAATAATGACAAATGTTGAGGTTTTGATGAAATAGTTTTGTATTTGAAGGATTGTTGTAGAAATAATTTAGATGTAAGGACTTAAAGATAAATATAATTATAAATTAATAAATTATTTTAATTTTTAATTACATAAGGGTATTATAGGTTATTTGCAAGTACAAGGGGTACGAGGTTGGTACAAGGGTGGTACGAGACAAAATAGAATTTTGGTTACTTTGTACCAACCTCGTACCTTAATCTAATAGTTTATATTAATTTTAAGTCAATCTAATGATGATATAAAGAAAGTACCTAATGTTAGGTAGGTACCATGACAAATAGACGTTCCCAACTAAAATTTTGATGGTAATTAATCAAGCTTAATTTGCAATCAAACGCATCATTACATCACTGCACTTGGTTACATCTAGACCTCTATTCTCTTAGGCAGCTCACAATCTCTGGTGGTGGCTGATAAGGCGTTGTTAGAAATTCCCATTCTGCCGAGCCGCAAGTGTCCAGTGTCGAGAAGATGGGTGGAGACGAGAGGTGGTGCGTGGTGACAGGCGGCAGAGGATTCGCGGCGCGGCATTTGGTAGTGATGCTCATCAAATATGGCATGTTCTCGGTGCGTGTCGCAGATTTGGGTCCCAGCATCAACCTCGATGCCGACGAGGAGAATGGTGTTCTAGGCGAGGCTCTGAAGTCTGGCCTGGCGGAGTACGTGTCTGCAGATCTTCGTGACAAATCTCAAGTGCTGAAAGGTCTTAATTAGCATTAGCTTTGTGATTAACGAATTTTAATCTTTTCTCTTGCTGCACTGGATATCGTGCATCGTACAGTAATTTTTCTATGTAGTTTCGCTTGTCTGGACATGCAAAATGCAACAGTTTAACATTCTTGAAGCGGATTGTAAGCCTGATTTGAGTTGTTTTATCAACCTGGAAGTTATGTTGTATTCACAAATCCAATGCTAATCTTGGTTTGAGTTGTTTTATCCAGCTTATGTTATGTATAGTTATTTGATGAACCGGTTTACAAGCTCCAAAATTGGTGACTTTTATCTCTTATCTTTAATGTTGTTGGTAATGGTCAAGCTGTGGCTGAAAAATAATAATTGGTGTCTATGTAAATCTATGGAAAATGTGGATATTGCAAGATGGCCTTTCCCGCTAACCTTCTCAAGGGTATGAGTAAGCAAGAGTTACAGCCTTATTGCCTCCAAGGTGAGCTAGTGAACTTGTGCGAGCAATGATATTGAAAATTGATTACTGATTGGATAGCTTGTGTGATTATATGTGGCATTTAGCATCATGCCTTTTAAGATTATTCTTGTGAACTTTCATGATTCTGTATTCAGCTTAAGTGTGTATCATATCCCCCTAGTTGGCATGAAGGTTTATCATGATTTATTTTGAACACTTGGATTACTGGTAAAAGATCGGGTTGAAACGCAATCCACACACACACACACACACACATATACTCTACCTTGAAAAGACTTCTGAATTGCTGGTTCAGAGTTTCTTTTTATTTGATATTTGAAGTTGATTTTAACTTAATTGGAGACGCTTATAATCTGTTTTAGCTTTTCCAATGCAGCTTGTCAAGGAGCTGAGGTTGTGTTTCATATGGCTGCTCCAGATTCCTCCATTAATAACCATCAGCTGCATCATTCTGTCAATGTCTTAGGTTAGTTTTGGGCTGTCTAGCTCCTGATCAACACGTGGGTTTTATAATTGCTTGTGAACTCTATCAACCTTTCTTTTTTCTTTCCTTTCCTTTTTGTCCAGAAATGATATATTGTGCTATCCCAAACTTTATCAGCTTTTCTTTACTCTATTTTAAATTTTTAAGGACAACCACTTTAGCATCATCCTTCCAACAACAAAACCAGTTCAGCCTAGGATTTAAAATAAATGGTACAAGAAAGCTAGCAATGATGTACAGTAACCCTACTCCACTATCAAATCCAGAGAAAAGATTAAGAAAAGTGCCGGAACTCTTGTCTTACTGCTAAAACTCTTTCAACTGCCACCTTTTCGGGCATCCAAACCTTTTGAAATAACCACAAATTTCTTTATTTATGCGTGCACTCATAGAATGTTGATGGATAATTGAAAATCGATCACTTGATTCGAGTCAGTATCGCAGACTTCCATCCGCCTAGTTCTGAAGTTTCCCGCTTGCCTATAAATCTCATCCCATAGTACTGGAGCAAGTTCCCGAATGATTTGCGTCCTGTTACAATTGAAGAAAAGATGCATCACACTTTCACATTGTTCACCACACAGATGACGAATGGATTCACCTTAAAAAATATCAGCTCTTCGTTTTAATTCATCTTAAATCCGACATTGACCTTTTCACCTTTACTGTGTTGTAATTATGACGTACAGGGACCCAAAACATTATTGATGCATGTGTTGAGCTGAAAATCAAACGACTTATATATACTAGCTCCCCGAGTGTGGTCTTTGATGGAGTTCATGGAATATTAGATGGAAATGAGTCTTTACCGTACCCTGCTAAGGTATTTTGAGTAGTGTTGACTTCATCTTATTCTATATTGATCCCTTTATTTTCTCTACGGGTATTAGAATACTCGAGTTATTTATAATGTGAGAAGGTATATTACTGTTTATGATTCTAGTATGTAACTTTTGTTTGAATAATAGAACATCGTAAGTTGGGTCCTATTTGTTATGAAATTTTCTTTATCTACTACTCGGCTACTTTCGTTTTAGCTAGTAATTCATAGGACTCAAAATTGATGTTTCTCCAGTTGGTTTCGGTTTTTGCTCAGCGAGACATCAAGTTTTCCATATCTGAATTCCTAGATTTGTCTTGGTTAACTTTTCCAGCACAATGATTCGTACTCTGCTACTAAAGCCCAGGGAGAAGCTCTGGTTATTAAGTCAAATGGTTTAAATGGACTTCTGACGTGCTGCATCCGGCCTAGCAGCATTTTTGGCCCAGGCGATAAGTTGCTTGTTCCGTCATTAGTTGCTGCAGCACGGTCAGGGAAATCTAAGGTAATTAAAAGGGAATTTTTGATCTACCTAGTTATTAGCCTTGGCTTCTGCATTGTTTCAAGTTTACAGATGTACCATTCTGACTGCATAATCTATGTAAATGTTACTGTGGAAATAATAAATATGAGACACCTTAAAGGGATCTGTGAAATCTCTACATGGAGAATGGAATTTACTTTTTATGAAACATGCTTCATTTTCTGCTGCTTAATGTGACTTTAACATGTGTTTTATTTTTCTTCCAATTGCTGTTTTATCCCGCCATATCTAGAGACCTTACATATTCTAATGTGTTACTTTGGAATACTCAGTTCATCATTGGAGATGGCAACAATTTGTACGACTTTACTTATGTTGAGAATGTTGCACATGCTCATATATGTGCCGAGCGAGCTCTGGCATCTGATGGGACCGTAGCGGAAAAGGCTGCTGGACAGGTAGCACTTTTCTTCTGTTGCAACTTGGTTGCCAATCTTATTTGCTAGAGTCTTCGTAAGTGCATGTGATTCTAGTCCTTATGCTTGTGCAATGTGTAATCTTTGCAGTATTATTTAGCAAGTTACTTTCACTTAATTTGTTATGTTCCATGACTCATATTTGCATTCTTAAAAATTGTGCTTTTCAAAGATTAAGCACTTAATGAAACCAATTAATTTGGAATGCGTCTCATACAGTATTGCCTATGATGCATCATGCCCTCTAAAATTCTTTATATAATTAACAAACCTCTTTTGCAAGTTCGATTTGTTTTGTCTACATATCAGCTAACACACTTTTAGGTGGTTCAATGTGGGTTACTATTTCGAATTTTGACATTCAGTAGTTCTTCACATGCATGCTCCTAATTTACCACAGTAAGGCATGTTCTAATCGAATTTTGACATTCAGTAATTCTTCACATGCATGCTCCTAATTTACCACAGTAAGGCATGTTCTATCAAGGTACTGCCACTGTCGTAGCGTATCCTTGTCTGATTTCTGCTATCATTGCTTCTGTGTATCTGTATATTATATCTAGTAGCTTTCAATTTATCCATAATGTAAATTGATTCATGGGGAATAATATATTCAAAGTCATTCGTGTTGAGTCAAAAG